TTTTTAGGGTCCACACTCTCAGCTGACCTGCTCTACGTGGCCCAAAATATGTGATTCTTGAATCTAAAACAGGTCTACACGACCACTAAATTAGCTCCACAAGAGCTACACCTCTAGTGTAACCACAGACTGACAAAAGCATGTGAACTGTACCCTGCTCGACAGCATGAACATCATGTCAGACAGTTTTCTTTTGTCAAAAGGAATATTTCTGTAAACTAAAGCAGGAAGGGATCATGTAGTTCGAGGAGTTCAAGTGGTCCTCTGTATGACATAAACTAAATGTTGTTCACTGCAGTTATTTAATTCCTAATGTGTAAGCTTGTAGTGGCTTTTGAGTCTTGAAGTAGTTCAACCTCTGTACATTTGTGTAAAGCTTGTGTGGTCCATCCTAAATTCACAAAAACTTATATTATTTATTCATAAATAAATTAAAAAAACTGTTTATGAAAAAAAAGAATATCTGTATACAAAAAAAGCCAAAATAACTATTATTATTGTTGAGAAGACAGTGGCCTTTAATAGAGTAGACCTTTTCTCTGTCAAAGACATCATGTCACCCCTCGTTCTATAGGAGCTAATTACAAATCAGACACATATGGTTCAATTTAGAGCACTAATGAGAATCTTGAAAAGCTGCTGTGTGAGAGTGAAGGGGCCCCTTTTTGTCTCCTGGATTCCCATCTGGGCCCCTGAAAAGCTTGAAATAGACTAATCATTGTTCATCAACCCAGGTCATCAGTAACTGATTGTGGAGCTGTAATTACATGATAAATGTCTGTATTACACATACCTCCAAAAGACGAGCATCATGAACAGAGATACGCTTTTATTTGTATTTACTTACTTCCTGTAGAGCTGGATTAAATGCAATTTGGTGTCCCACACAATACTTAAAAAGCAAACACTGTTTATCTTTACCACTATTATTACATATTTGTCAATTCTGTTGCTTTACTACACTTCTAAATGCTGTACTTCATTTATTTTGTACTGCCATACACATGCTAACTAACTAACTGTCTTGATGTTAGATGGCTTTAATTGTCTTGTTTATTATCATTGTCCTTCATTCTCTATATAATAGTTATGGTAAATTAAATTAACAAAATAGAAATTGTTATATAGATGATTCACATTATTGTGGAAGTATATATATATGTTAGACTTTGACAGTTGCTTTTCAGTAGTAGTGATGCTTTTTTTCAGAGTAACAATACAAACAAGATATATCTTTTGTTCACTTCATTGAGTGATCACTATACAGAGAAAAACAAACTACTGAGCTAGAAACTGCATTCAGAGGACGTAAACATGCAAATAGTGAAATGGGTGCAATGCAAAGTTTCAGGACATTATGTAAAATGCTGATGATCATTTAAACTAATTTCTTTCTTCTGTTCATGGCACGAAGAAACAAAAATAAGTGTCTTTATGGGGACTTCCTCATAACAATGAATGCTCAACTAATCTTCTCTTGTTTACTTTGTAATAATGTTGTTGTAACATGTTGTCCTCCTCAGTACTTATACAGTTGGTGTTTATGCTGTCTGTCAGCAGCTAGTTGAGGTCCTTTTGCTCAGTGAGAGCCCGGCTGGTTCAGCTCTGCAGGCTGAATAGACCAACTCTTCACTGCCAATGACTGCACCAGGCAGGTAGCAAAGGCTTTTCAGCAGGGCCAGCCTGCATCAATCAACTTAGTTAGAGGGCTCTCTCTGTAATTGCCAACTATTAGAATATGTGGCATGAGGGGTTCAACATTATTTTCAAACATGATGAAATGGCATCAAGGCCTCCTCTCACATCCAGTGATAATTGAACAATTAAACTTTAGCATACAAATTACCTCTTCATATGGCATAACTAATTACTGAGGCAGGCCAGTCACAAAGAAGGCTCTCCAGGGTCGATACCAAAACTGTTTTTCACACATTCACGCTTCATTTTTGAGTCCAGGTTTAACTGGGTTTATTATATCAGTGGGGTTATTAGATGTCTGTTTTGTTAGTAATTCAGCAATTTAGCCAAAAACACCCCCAAAAGGGTTATTTCACCTAATTTTTACAGTCTTATTTTGAAACCTCTTCATAGCACCCATGCTTTTTCAGGTAAAAATGGCCCTAATTATACAGGTGATTGAGACCCAAGAACATTTTCAGGCCATTTACTTCAGGTCATCCAGCTGCAACCCCTATTAACCATCTTGATTAGACAGGATTTAAATCACCTGGTTTGATTGGGGCAGTTAAGCTCTTTATACTCTTCACTGTAAAATGCTAATTCTCCCCGAAACGAATGGACAAGAATCCTCAGAGAGCATATGGAGAATCTCTCATATTAATAATTCAAAGGAAATGAGCAAAAATTAGTGAGTAGAGCATCAGCGATGTCATGTAGCCATTACTTCTGCAAATGAGAAATTTGATTTGAAAGATTGAAAATGGAAATATCGTCAGCATGAAAAATTATGATCTTTTTTTTTAACAGCACTAGAAACTGAATATCATCTGCTTGTACATTACGGTCTGATTCTGACAAATACATGAAATTCATACCACTATCATTCTCCAGACTATGCTTGTTTCTTTCTACTAAGGTCACTTAGCCCTCTATACAATAGTAGCTAAGCTCCCCAAGTATGAACTCTGATGCCTAACTACACTTTAGAGGGGACCTGAAAGCCCTCAGCAACTCCTCACACACACAATGGAGCTCTTCAGGTGCATTAGGTGAAAATTACATTAACGCTGACAATGGCAACAAGGCTTCAGGAACCACTTGAAGCATGCAGCGGACCAGAAGAGGGTCTGTATTTTAGTCCATGACAAAAGGCTGAAGACAACAACATGGATCTTGCAGCTGAAGTATGTGTATTGACACCAAAACCATTGCTAATTCTGAAATAATAATGCCTAAAAGAACATAAAATGTAGTCGGGGTAAAGTTAGTGTGCGAGAAGAAGCATTGCACTCATTGACACCACAAACCCCTCCTCAGTGGACAGCCAGAGATGAGAGAGATTATGAATTTGATATTAACTCCAACCGAAAAGGCCAAACTAGGAGCATGAAGCACATTTAATATATAAACGTGGCTGCTCACACACACGAGTCATTTGCAAGTTCCAATACAAGATGATTATATGTGTTGATACGTCAAGGCAAGAGATGAAAATGATTGGAAATGTATCATGAGACAGTGATTGTAGACAATATTAAACTCCACAAAGGAGCTTTTGTTCTCGAATTCCTGCAGCAGTTCAGCCAGTATTGCCTCTGCTTTAATTTAATATCTATTTATTTTAGTCCATTGTATGGGTTTTATTGAGGTTGCGCCTGCTTTATCGCCCCGATCTCAACCAGAAGTGAAGGTCAGGAGAGGCAGAGTGCCTCTGTTTATTGGCTTCCATTGAGCCCATATGAACTGATTTGGCTATCTGTTCTTGATATTAAGTTCTTTCATAGTATTTTGTGCTATCCGGATATTGTTTATCACCACATTGAGATATTCACTGTATATTTACTGCTGAATTAAATATTCTTCATCATTTTTGTAATATCCTCTCTGTAGGCTCGTGCAGGATGTGAGAGTCCTGTTGGATGTGCAAGAAACATTCTTAGTAGACTATCTACATGTTCAGGAGAAAAGAAAAAGCACAATATATATTTCATCAGTGTTCTCCCATATGCTACGAAATGTAAAATCTCATTATTTTCAACCAATGTTTTGATAAACCTCTCACATTGTTGTGATAAGTCTGCTCTCTGTGCTCTCAATGGTCACCTGTAATTATAAATAGTTTTATTCTTTAATTCACCTTTATCTTACAAAGCTGTATTGTAAAATTAACCATATATCTTAGAATAAATTGGATTATACATATAACTATAACTCAATGCTGATCCAGCTATAAAGCTATCTGAAATATTCCATATTTCACTTTAAAGGCCGGACTGCAAAATATTAATACTATCACTGTCTCTACTTTTTAGTCCCAAAGTTGTTTGAGGAGGCACGTATTGATCAGATATAAAGAAAAGTGATCAGATATGTAGCTCTTGGCACTGAACTAACAATATAATCTTGTATTTATAAGGTATAAGATTTTGTAAAATATCTTAAATTCCATGATGATTTATGCCAAACAGAAATCCCCAAACCAACAATTATAGATAAAATGGAGGGTTATAAATCAGGATTATTAATCGAACAAGTAAGAAACATATCCCAGAAGCAAAATAAAACAAACATCTCTTCAAACACAAAACCACCATTCACACAGTGCAAATTGTCAAAATTTTAATTTTTTTTATCAAAAAAACCCTGAAATTTAATAATTTTTGACTGAGTCCCATAAAACATACGTGTGTTTATACATATATATAATTAAATTATATTTGTTCTATAACTTTAATCAGCTTTTTCTATGTGTGTAGCATGAAGGGACTGCAAACCTTCATTTCGTTGCATAACCTTGTGTCGTATAATGACAAATAACATTTCTTGATTTATAATACTAATATAAGCTTTGACATTTTGGGAAGTATTCAGTTGGTTGCAATCTGCAACTTCACCACTAGGTGCCACTAAATCCTACTTGTCCTTTAATGTTAATGTTAATGTTTAATGTTTTTAAGTAAATTGTACTGCAAATACATACATTATACATAGAATACATTTACTTAAATAAAAATTCCAGTGCACAAATTCCCATATGTACTTTTACTTATAAAAGAAGATTTTTCAACTGTGCTGTTATAACATGTCTTCTGTCACTCGTTGTAAGGCAGGTTCTCAGTCCAAGGCATCACATGAAAATAACAGGAATCGCTCCCTGAATGCATCATGCAAACACTGCAGGGTTGAGTGACGTGTTCTGACGTCGTGTCTGCGTGAGCGAAATATGATGCTGCACATGGCGCACGTGGTCTGTTGTTTACTTCTTCGAGGAACACTGGAAGTGCTGCTGGAGAGGAGGACGAGGAGGAGGAGGAGGAGGAGGAGGGAGAGGGGGGTGCGGTGAAATTGTGAAACATCTTTCTATTCCTGGATAGAGTTACGTTGCTCAGCATTTGGAAAGAGAGACCGGACAATGTCCAGCTGAATTCCCTCATTTTCTTCCTCTTGAAAGGCTCTTTATACCGCGCGAGACTTCGACAGTATGTATTGCTTTGTTTTAGAGCTCGTGTGAGTTGAGCGCGCGGTGCTGTCTCTGCTCTTTTGTTCTCTTCACAGGGTCCTGAAGTTCAAGTCCAAGCGTTCAAGTGTTGTCAACAAAGCTGTAAAGCCTGGGGGGGGTGGCAGTTTAGCATGCTTTCAGGATGCCTTTAAAGCACAACAAGTACTGAAGCAATGGACATAGTGGTTTCCGTTTAATTTGTTTAGCTAAAAGTTGGATTTAGTTAAACTAGTAAACAAACATGTTGGATTTGACTAGAACTCCATGTTGGCATCTGAAGCTAGAATACAAATAATTTCCTTTAGCTGCATTGTTTCACTGTATGCGTTGACTCTTAACCAAACTGCCTTCTCAGTTAATCTGTTTTGTTTTTTATTTTTTCAGATTGAGACTAGAATGCCTCAGCTTGGAAGCCTGTTCACCCAGTTTCATCTCAGCTCCAAAGCTTCAGAAAGGGCTCAAGGCCAAAGCCCACATCAGACACTGACACTACCTGACGTTTTACAACATGTCAGGTAAGGATTGTGTAAACTTAAAGCTGCATTAATCTTTTTTTTTTTTTACAAAACCTACAGACACTTAGAACTCCAATTGTGCAGCTCCCAATAAGCTTGTATGGAGAGTTTAAGCCATCTTAAGCCAGTTTTACATCCGCCACTTTGCTGTTTTGTTTCACATCAACCCCTTTGTTTCTGATAAAACTGCTGCTATGCTTCCTGCATAGCACCAAACAGCAGACAACCAAAGTTAGCAACTAGCTGGTGAAACATAGTGGAGCATTAGCAGCTAATGAGCGAGATATTTCCCTCAGGCGTTGGTAGAGACTAAAATAGAAGTAGAAAGAGAGTGAATATCGGTCTGACATTCATGGGATGGACAGAAACATCACTCCAAATAATGTTGCTGGACGTGTAAATAGGCAACTGTTCAACAGTGTCAACACATTCAACTTAGATATTATCTTAATGTTGTGCAGTTTGTTCCACTGCCCCCAAGTGGCCAAAATAAAATAAGTTAATGCAGCTTTAACTTTGGTTTTTATGCATGAAGTGCTCTTTTGGACAAAATCTAACCTAATATTTTCTTTTGTCTGTGTACTTTTACTGTAGGAAACTCACCGGGCTGAGAAATGAAGATGTTTACTGCAATCTGCGTATCCCCAACCAGTTTCAGACCACCAAAGATGACATCAACATTGTTATCCTCACAGGTTGGTATCGTAGACTGTATCATTGAAAACAGACTTAGTCTCCGTGACGTCACCCATTGGTTTCTGAAGAGCCGTTGTGAAGTTCAGTGCGGTCGTCTATGTCCATCGCCATCTTGGCAGTCCTGACTCCGCCGGCTCCCGACCAAAAATTATTTCTTTGTATCAGGCTGTAAGCCTGTTTATTTCTGCTATAAAGTTGGGCAATTTAATATCGGGTTTTATGGAGATTGACTCACTTCTGAAGCCAGCCTCAAGTGGACATTTGAGAAACTTTGGTGTTGGTTTCATTTGCCAGCCACAGAGGTTTCCACTTGGTTGACATCTAGATTAAAATGGCATTTCATGATAGAGCCAGGTAAACAGCTAATATGATACTGATATTGTGGTATAGGATTCAGAATGTTATAATATCATAATATGGTTATAATACTGAGATATATTGTACATTTACTTTCCAGGTCTTTAAGGCTGTGTTACATTTAAGTGAGCAGCATTCTGACAGCAGACATTTTGTCTTGTCATCATGACATCATGTAGGAAAAGTACATGTTATTAATAACATTAGTAACAGCTCTGTTCTATTCCAGTGGTGACAGTGAGTCAGCATGTACGATACCGAGACCCTGAGACCGAAGCAGCTAAATAGAATTCAGCCATCATTGATTTTATTATTTACACCTGTGCTTTTCTACTGTATGAAAGTGTTCCAAAAGCACCAGTAGTGATCACTGCATTACATATTTCCTTATGTATTGAGGTATTTGTTTTAAAATATCACTATATTTAAGTCAGTTAATACATTTCAATGCTAATTCCCATCCCGTTATTTTATCTATAAATAGTTTCTCAAATGAATGTCCAGAAAATGTATAACAATATATATCGCTATTGTGATCTTTACTTGGTGTAATGTTTTTCTCTTTTTATAAAGGCCAGGGGATCTTCTGCATGGATGTAAAACCCTGGAGAGGTACAGTGTCGGCTCACAACCAAAACTGGCATGTGCAAGTGAAAGAAGAGGACCAAAACTTTACCAATACCTGCATTGAGCAGATTGAAGATCCCCTCAAAGCTATCATGGTAAAAAAAAAAATGTTGAAATACCATCATGAAAACCTAAATGTCAAACTGTCTGGCACACTTGTGTCCAAGGTCCAATCAATTGTCCAGTACATTGTTTTCATCCAAACTCCAGCCGGGTTAAGAGATTCTGAGTCACCATAACAATTTATATGGAAATTTCAAACACTACAACAGTGCTTCCTAAACTTCCCAAGTGGTTGCTCTTCATTTGAAAGGCCATAATTATGTTCACAGGGGGTGGGGGGTGAAAGCAGGCAGGTGCCTAAACACAGCTGTCACCTTATGTGCCTGGGTCTGTTAGGAGTCATTCATTTCCATCTCTATAGATGCTCAGTTTGGACTGGGAGCTTGACAGAAGAGTCTGATGGCAAACACAAACTGCATTATTTAAGTAGTTCTGCTTGGATTGGACATATTAACTGCATTAATCTACACAAAGCAGATACAGCTCGACCGCCAGTTTAAAGTTGTATAATTTCCTTAAATGGGCCCTTTTTAGTAATTGGAAAGTGGATACTGAGCGAATGTTAGCAAACACTGACAAATCTCTCTTTTCTGGGTTAATAAACACTCAGGATTGATTTAACTAATGTTTAAACAATTTGATTAATACATTAATAAACAATTTCATAGTCGATTAATCATTTTCTACCTTTTCTCTTTATTATATCAGTATATACATTATATATATATATATATAAGTTGAGTTGTTTCAAGACATAGGTCATTGCTAAAACAATACTTTGTTTCTGTACTTTGCATTAAAAGATAGAAATTGTATTTTTCTACAAAATCAGCTTTCAATTTATATGTTGTTTATACACAAGCAGCCCAAAAAAGAGTGTATAATCTGGCACTAGTCCTAATGATGGCCATTTTCATTGTTTCCTGACATTTTATAGACTAAATGATGAATCCAAAACTAACTGAGAGATGCATTTTTCTTCTCCAGACCAAGACGGCTAACTTATGTGGCCACTTGAAGAGGAGTGGGGTGTCTGTGCGCCAAAGCCTCTTCTTCCCCAAGGTTATCTTCCTCTCTCCAGACTGCGAGCTGGATGAGGAGCTGAGGAAGAGGAGGGAGCTGGTCTCCCATAGCCAGATAGATGACTTCCTCAGATCTTTCAGGGAGGGCTACATGGCCTGGATATCAGATGCACTGACTCCCTCCTGGCTGTCTGGTGAGAGGGACTTAAAAAAAATATATAAAATTATGTGAAATTATTTCCATCTTGGTGTGATATTTGTGTTTATTACTGAGTCCTAAAACATGTAAGACGTTTCAACCTGTTTCCAGATCAGCTTGTTTCAAAAATACTGAATGAAACAGACTACTGCACTAATATAAAGAAAATATATTAACTTGATTGCTGCTAATTCTAAAGTTTTTCAAGAATTTTTAATCCTCAGTATTGTTTTTCTTGATTCTAGCATAGTGGTCGGCCTTATTCTGTCTTGTTTCATGATAATGATATGAGGATAATGACATTTATTTCAGGAATTCTGAAACAGCCATTATGTTTTGGAAACAAGGCGCTGCACCATGAATCCTAAGGACCCCGGTTCTAATTTTACCAGGGACATTTGTTGAATGTTACCCCATCTCTCTCTGCCCCTCATCTGTTTTTTTCACTTGTTTCCATATAAAAAGATAGCTTACACTTTCATAATGTGATTCAATTAAGCAGGCTTCTGGCAGTAAAAGCTACCAGGTCAACTTATTGTTTTTTTAATATGTTTTTGTGCTGCAGGTCATCTGTCGTACAGGCAGATGGAGTCAGTGCGGGAGGTCCTGAGGGGTGTGGGAACGTGGGATCTGGTGCGGCTCCACTGTGGCGAGCAGCTTAAAGGAGACTTCCAGGGCTGCCCGTACATTGCTCTCAACCGCCAGGAGACGGACACGCTCGAGTTTTCCAGAGTCAAGACCCTGTCGGCTGATTCGCTGTGGGCCCTGCTGGGACACGCTCCTCAGGTCAGTCCACTGAGCTCGTCTGATGAGCCACCAGGACCAGAGATGGTCTGTAAAATGAGAGTTGAATGAACCAGATGACCAGCAGGTGGCAGTAGTACTTTATGACTGCCTCACTCAATTTCCAAAAATTTCCTCTTGTTCTGGGAACTAGAATAACACAGGTTGGATTGAGGCTGAAGAGTGCAGAGCATGACAAATATTTTACAGTTATTTGAAAACAATTAGGGCTATATTTAATTAAGAAATGTCAGGATATTACTGTATATTATCAGATTAAGTGATTGCAATACAATTTGGTGTTCAGTTAAAGAAATGTTCAGGTTTTACTGTTTTTTCACAGCACGACAGAGTTAATTTTTGTAAGAAATCCTACTAATTACAGGTTTTATTTATTTAGAAGTAACACGTGGTTCTTTTTCCAGAAAAAAAAACAAACAGGGATTTTTTTTTTAAGCCTACCGCCACTTTAGTGTGCTCTCTCAGATCATTTCCATGAACACTCCTTGTGGTGTTAATTACTGCTTTAACTCTTCAGTTTTTCATCGAGGTAAGTCATTCTGCCTGCCTGCGAAGTACTCATTAGCTCACTTGATTGAATCAAGGCAATTGCACAGTCTTAAAGGCAGCATTTGAGCTTATTCACATTCTCAGATCGGTTTTGGATTATTATTGTTTATTTTATTCCAGGGAAATGAATGGATTTGGCTAACTAAGTAGATGTTGTGTCTCCAGGTGACAGGGAAGGAAATCGTAACTGTCACTTTGGTAATGAATGTAATTCTGAGTGAATATGATATTTACACACAATGATAGTTGTTTTGGGTGACATTTTTACATAAAAGCATCATCAATTTTGTCTGTGCAACAGGGCTTCAGTGCTGCTTGTTATGTGTTCAATGAAGTAAATGTTAGGCAGACAAAGGTCAGAGCTCTTAAGGTCCAGTGAGTACGACCCCTGGTCAGCATCCATTACAGATTTCACACCCACCCTCAGCACCCAAACACTCTGGGCTTTCCTTACAGACTCCACTCAGGCTTCAGTTCGCCCACCCCCCAACATCCAGACTGTATGTACTCTCTCCCCTCTTGCCTCCAGCTGCTGTGTATTTGATACATGACCCTATAATCATTAGACAGTCTCCAGTGGGCCTTTTTGTAGCCCAAGGGGACACACACAGCGACAACAAAATATATTATTTTCAAAGAAATATTTGTAAATGGAGGCAGTGCGAGGCAAACCCCCTCCCTGTAATTCACAAAAAAATGTGACTGAGAGAATATATGGTTAATATTCTGTTATGGTGTATATTTTACCTCACTTGGTATGTTCAAATACACTAGGCCTATATATTGTTTCCCATTTTTAGATTTTAAGCATTCAGCTGCAATAACCAACAATGAACTCAAGTAAAACATTTTAAGATTTTACCCCTTTAGACTCCATGTCACCCGGTCCGTCTTTAGAAAAAAAAAAGATCTTCGCTCGTGTGCAGCAGCTGCGAGGGGAAGCTTGGGGGGTGGCGAAGAAACTTGATAGCTCCCCCAGGCGTATTTTCAGAGCCCAGAAATAATGCATGCTTTTGATTTGTTACTTGTAAACACACAGGGTAGAAGATCTGTGATATGACCCACAGTTTCACTCAGGCGTCTGTTTGTTTGTAAGAAGTGGCACCAGATGCATCCGCAAATGGCACTAGGTGTGTTTTCTATGGGCTCAGTCAATTACTCTGAGGAGAATGAGATGTCTATATGTCCCCAAAGTGGAGAGTGATTGAGTAGAGTGGCTGTAATTTATTAATTATGGTCTATATTCTTAGACCACGGTTCTGGCTTCATTCAATTTGTATGGATTGAGGAGTAATTACGGTGTGTGTGTGTGTGTGTGCGCAGGAGTGTGTGCGTGCATGTGTGTTAGGGAAAGAGAGAAAGAGCTGAAGATCTATTCACGTCATAATTTCAAGTGCAGGTTACTTATGTTGTTCATCTTCATGTCGTCTCCTATTCTCAAATTTGACTGTTTCATGAGGTCTTTGTATCAGTTTATATAATGATTTAGTTTAGATTTAGTTTATTCAGGAGGAGTAGAAATGGAGCCCCTGTGTTTAAAAAGTCTCCTTACTCACGTTCAGCATATAGAGTGTCTACTAATTGCATAGCTGAGAAACAACAATTGAGTTCCTTGGACCGTAACTTGACTACACCAGCCTGTCAGCTGATTAATAGAAGCAAAACCACCAGGCGAAAAGCTGCAAATTCACCGCTAACAAATAATCAGACCTCGGTTACCGGAGATACATCTTGTCTCTCTGACTGGCTCTACAGATTCCACAAAGATGCAGCTTGTTAATTTAACTCCACACTAACATTCCTCTCTGTTTGGCCATCTCCCAGGCTGCACGCGTCACAGGCCTGTAATGGACAGGGTGGTGCGCCTGGTGCTTAGCACAGAAAAGGCAGAGAGGGGAGACATCAACCGCTTTGTGGTGATAATGAATGGAGGCACACAAAAGGCCAGGAGCTGGCCATTTACAAAGCCTGCGAATTCTGCTGCCTAAATAGATAATATTGGCAGCCACTGTGGCTTTTTGGTCTCTTTTTATGTAGAGAAAAAAGTATTTCGCCATTTAAAGAAAATATGTGCAGTACCCATTACTATTGATTATAAATCATTTTTAATAATCATTCACAAATATGGCATTTTTATGTATGCTATATAAAATGTAATTTGTTCTTCATATAGAACAAGAAATTCTAAGTGAACATAGAAGTGTAATTTCTCTGAAAGCCTGTGTACTTGCCTGTCAGTGGATGTTTTTTGATCACAGAAATCAACAGAGGTGTTTCACCAAAAGTGCATTTAATCAGATTGTCAGACCCACAGAGTTCACTGTCCATCAAGTACCCAACTAAACTTAATGGAAGGAGGATTTCTGTACTAAAGAAAAGTTTCAAAGAAAAGTTTTCTGAGGAATTTCCCAGAAAGAAAGCTCTATTAGTTGCACAGCATTTTTCAACAAAAATGAAAATCGTAGGATGAAAATTACCAGGATGTTCAGATTTCTGTAATTGCAGCATCGCTCTCGAAAGGAAACTGGAATTGGAAATAATTTGCACCAGAGTGTGTGTAGGAAGCTGCAGAGGAAAGCTAACCATGCAATTACACATGAGAAGAGTGCTGCAGAATCACAAGTGTCTGTAATGAACTAGTGAAGACACCAGCACTTACACAGTGGAAGGCAATGATAAAAGCTGCCTTGTAATAGCGTGTGATTAAACTTGGTAAAATCTATTTTTTCACTCGAGCACTAAGCCACAGTGAAGAGTCCCGTGGAGAGATTCTGCATCTGTCAATTTGAAGATGACTCAATGTGTTTCCTCCAAATTCATCACCCAGCATGCAATACCAGTCATTTTAAAGGGCTCTTCAAACGCTCTTTTGTTAATTTAGTTAAACATCAACCGGTAGAGTTCATGTTTTACACGTTCCTACTTAACACAGGTGGAGATTGAGTTTCAGTAAATTTGAATACATGTTTAAAATAAAGCTCCAAGCCATTAATATTCATTAGAAAATAATTTCTTTGAATGTGGAATGAGCTGTGGTTGTGCAAGACACACAGTAGATAAGACTACCAGTATCTGTGATACCCATTAATATTGTATGTTTGTACTCTTGCATTGTATACTGCACGCATTATAATAACGGCCAAAGAAATATCAAAGAAAGGAGGCCTAGCTCATATTTAACAAGAATATCTTTTGATATCAGTGTATTGTATATCATGATAGCACAATTATATGAAAGAATCTCATAAAATAATCAAATTCAGTACAATGAAGAAGTGAATGTGTTCAATTGTGATGCTTTAGAGACAGATCAAATGTGTTTTTAGTACTTTTTGTTTGTAATAATCAATTTAATAATTTAAAGTAAAAGAATTTTGTAAAACCAATAATAAACTGATTATTTATGGGCTATGGAGAGCTATCACACAAAAGCAGGTCTCAAAAAACAGGTGCTCTTCAGATCGAAGGACATATTGTGAGACCAAAAAAGAATTGAGATTAACCCTCTCGTATTTTCAACTGTTTTGCAATTTGACAACATCACTTTGGGCTCTGGGCAACTGTTGTTTATTAAATGATTAATTAATGGACAGATCCACTAAAACAGTGATAATATTAAATTATTATCCAGACTTTAGCAATGGCCGGAAGACCAGAAATGCTTTATATAATATTTTTTCCTATTAATGATTCCCTGACATAATCCAAATTGGCATCAAATGCTGGATTTAGTATCTAACAGAAACTTTTCTTTGGTCACTGGCCAAGATGTTAATTTTTATCTCGGTAAGCTCAGCTATTTGTTTTGGGGATTCAGGATATTACAGTGATCCCCATAGTATAGATAGTAAGATATGATCAATAGGGATTCATGAATAATGAAGAGGCCGAGTGGAGCAGAGACACTTAATTACAGTTTCAAAAGCCATTCTCGTTAATTGAGGAGAATAAAGGTGGTGAAGTGGACTGAATGGCAACATTAGAATTTTCTATCTGTGACTTTCTTTTTTTTATCATACAGCAAAACCCTCAGTGAAAGGCACCAGCTGGTAATTGACAGGTTCTCACTGTTTTCTCAAACTGATGCTTGTCTGTGTTTGACATTTAATATCATAGTTTATTCTGTGTGCTCGGTCCATTTCCTCTGACCACCTGTGAGCAGACTATCGTTCTTTTAATGTGAAGCCTAATATGCTGCATATCCAGACAGTGTGTGGCCACTGTGTGCAGCAGATACAGTTTATAATTGACAGCCCTGCCATCTGTTATAGTTATGTGAAATTATGGATAAACTAGTTAACAGACACTTTGCCCCATTGTCTGTTGTTTTGATAATCACCCTTAATAACGGACGGCATCAATATGGTCTTTAAACCTGATTTGGGAGTTAATGGAGTCAGATGGGGGCAGTCAGTGTATGCTCTGGGGGTAAT